GCACTCTTGTGCAAACTAGTCTCTTGTGCATGGCACTCTTTATGCCGACTAATTATTCATTATTATGAACCATGTTCAATCCTCATATACATGGCATATAGGCTACATCCAAAAGCTACACTCCGACGATAGTTAGCTGAGCATGAAGACAGGGATAAAAACAGGGGGAAAGCTAGCCTTATTCAGTCTAGTGCCGTTTACAGCTAAGACTGAGTCCTGCTTTTTTTTAAATTTTCGGTTTACTTACCAATTAAAAAAGTCAATTTCTAACAAGATGTTGCTGGTGGGTAGGTTGCCTTTGTTAGCTTTGAACAAGCTAACCTCTCAACCCCGGTTAACTAACTTGCTTCCTAAACTAATCCTGAATCTACAAATATATTCCTAGACTTTAAAACACTCATTTTCACAATGTACTAACAGATTGCAAAGTCAGATGTTTCACAGCACATATAATCTAAATTAATTGAAACACTCAGCCTGAGCTCTTATGCAAAATGGCAGCTCCAGAAAAGGCTAATTACAGCTTGTCCATTTTCGGTGCTTGGATTTGAGCAATTCTAAGGCTAGGGGTTAATGATTCATGCGAGCTCCATGTCATTTAACTCTAATTTAATGTTCTGAGATGTGACTGGGCAGCTTTAGATGGCAGAGGAAAAAGAGTCAAACTTGATTAATATTCGAGGTCTTCAAAAGCTATCAGCACACAGCAGGACTAATAAAATATCGCTGGCTTCAAGTTTTATAGTGAAGTGTTGCCTGCCTTTACCAACACACCAGGCACAGAGTGCATCCTAACACCTGTAGAGCTGCCGTAAATCCCACCCAATGCTTATTGTTATTTCTCTTCCCATTTTGGGATTTCCATATAAAGCCTGGTTTATTATACCTGGCAAATATTAATAAAACAAAACCATTGGGAGGACATACAGTGGAGAAATATGTGAAACTGCTGAATTTCAAAAGACCCTAAACTCTGTTGGTACTGTGTTTATTACACAGCCCAGCCCAGCAAAGGCCTATAAATAAACTCAGATTGCTATGGAAATGAACATGTATCAGCTCAAAGTGGTCACCAAATGCATGGGTTTAAACTTTTGGACAAAGTAACCAAATAATTGTGTTCTAAGAACTGATTGCATTATTTGGTTCATATAAACACAAATTAATTCAATTAAAACAGAAATATATTTTCTACAGGGCCCCTACGATAATACACGTTAAAATAACATACATGTTTTATAAGTGTGTTGTTGATATGAGTGTGCTGTAGGTATGTTGTTCTATATTATGTATTTGAGCTGCAGCGAATAGTAGTTACAATTATGTGTTGAACAGAATAAAATATAAAGCTTAAGCATAATATATATTTTGCTCAGGGGGCTATAGCTATGCTCAGGTGGCTGTTATAACTTTGCCCTTCTTGTCGTATGTAGGACTTGGTCATTCCTGTCTATAACAGAACCCCTAAATTGCGACAGAAAAGGTTTTAAGTGAGTGTTCATCCCCTCAGTTTAGCGACAGGACTTGTGTAGTAAATTCGGTTGCATTGTATATGATCATGTGTACACTACATACCGTGTGTGTGTGTCTGTAAGTGCTACATGAATCATGTGAATGTGTTTGGGAGTTTTAAAATCCATTGCCAGCCATTGAATTACAGAAATCTAACACAGGCAGAGTTAAAAAGAAAAAGAAAAATGCATTCTCAAATCATGATAATTTATACTTTTTTAAATGTTGTTGTTTCATTATATTGTTTCCCATGAAATCTTTACAAGAGCTTCTTCTTTTCCTCTGAACATGTTCCAGAGTGTATTCTTTTGTTTTTTTATTTAGCAAATTACTTAAAATAAAGTTAAATGTTCTATATAACTCATTAAAACTATAAAACCCTCTCTCTCCTCCTAGGGTACTCAAGTCTGTTTAACCTGACACTGCATAATTACCTCACACAGCTATTATCCATTGACACTTATAGTATGCCTTTGGGTGAGTATTATACGAACCCCTTATAGTCGACATATTGTAGCATATGGTTTGCTCGAAAATAGTAGAGAAATTGTAACTACCCAAATTCACACCTAGCTCTCACTTTCTCATTATACAGCCTGTCTCCTTCCTGCCATTTAATTAAGAGGGTGTCATACACGCTTTCCTTTAAATCCCTCTGCAGTTCAACTCTTAAGCCTCTTGTCGGACCCCACTGAGTAAAAATGAGATGGTTTGCTCACCCTGACCAATGAACATGCACATGTTTATGTGCATATCAATTTAGCTTAGCCTTTCTGCACCCGATATTCAGTTTTTAATTACAAAGACTAATTAAAAGTACCTTGTAATGAAGTCTGTGGTTCCCCCCGCAGGGCAGTGCACTTTGTGTTATTTTGCATCATTAATGGAGAATATGCTAAAGAATGACAAAATCAAAAAAAAATGTAAATGAGACATTTCACTCCACTTTTGTAATGTCGGGAGCTAAGAGAAAGGGGGGCACAATGCCGGGGGAGTCATTTCACGGCCAATATACAGCCGTAATAAATGACAGATCATATAAAATTCATGAAGGTAGTAAAAAAGCTTGTTGTGGACAAGTAAAATAAGAGAAAGTGCGCCAAAGTCATTTTTCAACTCTGTCTTGTCCCTGCTGGAGGAATTTGTTTTTAAATTATATATTATACATTATGTATAATGTGCATTCACATTCACCTTTTCAAATGAACAGACACATGGTCTCATGTGTAACTCTACGCAGGGTCCTTGGCAAACCTCAACATGCATGCTTCATTTTTTGACTGCCTGTGATGTCCAGTGTACTGTGTGTGTCTGTGTGTGTGTGTGTGTGTGTGTGTGTGTGTGTGTGTGTGTGTGTGTGTGTGTGTGTGTGTGTGTGTGTGTGTGTGTGTGTGTGTGTGTGTTGTTATCTTTAGCTTGGCATCTGTCTGGGTTTGACAGTTTTCTGCCATACAAATGTCAGGAGAGCATGAAGCTGCACTGGCACTCAGATAAAAAATATGGAGGAAATGTTGTGTTTGTATAATTTTTGTATTTTCTCCGCACATACGTTATTTAGCAAGTACTGTATGTTCTATATACCACAGCGTTCC